AAGGCAGATGCTATATAACAGTGGAGGTCACATTTTGTAGGATCTTGGTATAAATTCTGGGTTATATTCTAAGTATAATGAGATGCTTGTGACCGATCTGAGTACATGCAGAGTACTCAATTTAGACTTTTAAACGGTCACTCTTTCTACACAGAATAGATAATGTAGGGGCAAGAGTTGAACCCAGAGAGTTTACTGCTTTTCATTGACCTTATAGAACTGTCACACATGAGAAATACAAGGAATCATTTTAAAATAATTTTATTTATACAGAAGATTTAGGCAGTACTGTCATATATGATACGGAAGCCTCACTTATGCTTAGGAGATTGTAAGAACAGAATGTTTGGTTTGTGTGCTTATTAAGTAGTGAGCTCACTGGCCCTGGAGCAGGACTGACAGACTACATTTCAGCCCTTAGCTTTACCCAGTCTGTCTCTGTCCTCATCTGCCATGATGGTCAGTCTTCTCCAAAAGACCAATGGAATGAGCAAGTGATCAAGTGAGGTTATGTGTGTGTTAAAGTCTCATCCTAGCACTCAGATCCCGCTACTTGGCAGTACATGTTTATTCCCTTGTGTCCTATACCCTGACTCTCATATACAACTCTCAAAAAGCTGCTGGGCCAAAATACCGATCACTGCGGTTGTCCTGTGCAGAGGGGATGTCAACATAGCTGAGCCACTCCTTTTTGATGCATTGGATTGTGGGGTGGGCAGACCACTGGTGTGTGGTAGAGAGAAGTCCCTTTTAAATATTTTTAGTGTTTTCATTAATGAATACCTGCATTTGGAAGTATAACAAGTGTGTATGTTTGCATGTGTATTAATGAAATGTCATACAGACAGTTGGATTCATTTCACTACAACTAGCTAACCAGATGACATAAAATTCCACTTTTGACTTTATAGAAAAAGAGAATGAAGAACGTTACCTGATCCAAGTTCTTCATTCTGTAGACAAGAAATCTTGAAAGCCACATAGTTTAAGGTTATACGTCTAGTTATTTGCAGAGTTGGCTATACAGTCCATTTTGGCTGATTCCAGACTCAGTCGTCTTTCTGTACTCAGCAGCTCTCTGTTCCCTCCCTAAGCTTGATCTTAAAGTGGTCTCTTCAGTCTCAGTCAGGAAAGCAACAGATTTCAGTTGTCACCAGGCCCTGCTACTCCCTGACAGGGTTACCTCCTCAGTTGTCTATAAACCTTGAGTTTTTATGTGGTGATAGTAATCACATCCTGGGCCCTGCAGGGGGCTAAGTGATTGTATTTTTGTGTTCTTACTTTTCAGGGACCCTGATACATTCTAAGCCTAACGCAAAGACTTGTATATTTATGTACTATATCTCATTTAATAATTCTATTCGTTTCTTATAGAAATTGTGCAGATTAACAAAAAGATTGAAAATCGTGAGTAACACTGTCATCTGGAGATAATCTGAGTATCATGCATTTTCTCCTTCAGTTTTGAGTATACTCACCATCTAAGAAAGACCATGGAATCCTTTATCAGTGATCTGTTTGAATGAAACTCTTCGCGTTGGTAGTGAAAGTAGAGCCCGTGACACAGACTGACACTTCTTTCAACTGAAGATTTTTTTTGGAGTTATACTGTAGTGTACTTAAATGCATATATATTAGACCTTGAGTATTCTTTTAGTTTTTGCAGCAGTTTTAGTACACTTCCTCTTTCTCTTTTTAAACTCCAGCTTGAACTGTATATGTATCTACCTTCAATTTTTTTTAACCTGAATATAATGAAGTGTTCATCCCATAGACCTTGAAAATAAGCCTGACCTAGTTAGAATTTTTAGGGACTTGGAGACTGCTTTGATTCTCCGTCCTCATGATTAAGCCACAAAACCTTGTTAGTTCAAAGGAGGAGAAATGTCAAAAATCAAATTGTTTTATTTTATATCTCCTCACTCGGGGAAAGTGATTTATAGGGCCCTCTCTGTGGAATAGGCATTATTGCTCCAGAATTCCAGCCTGGCCAGTTTCCTTCTCTGCTGCCTCTTCATCCTGTGGCCTGAGGCTAGTGCACTAAAAAGGTTTAGTTCACGTCCAAGGAGTTTTGCCTCAGATTGAAGGCTATTAGAGTAATGGTTCTGCTTCTCTATTGACTGTTGTGTGCGTGTTACCATGAATTCAGGCAGTTTTCAATTTTGAAACTTCAGTGAAACACTGAAGACATCCAGTCGCTTCCCTGGCAGGGACTCTGAGATGGGCTGTGCCCTGGCTGTGAGATTTGAGCAGAGGGAGGGTAGATAGTTGAGAGCAGTGGTTCTAGGGTATCCCTGCATGAGGGGAAATACACAATTAAATGCCACAGTTGAAAAAGTGTAGCTGAGGGAGTGGATTGGGGGAAAGCAGCTACAAGCAAATGTAGAACACTGGAGTTGTGAGTCAGGAGAGGAGCTGTTCAGAATGGTATTTAACAGCCAGGGCTGTCTCCGGGTCAGGTAGGTGGTAGCCACCGCCTAGGGTCTGGCTTTATTGGTAGGATGCGCTCCTGATGGGTCAAATTATTACAGGGTCCTGGACAGAAAACAGTCAGGAGGTTGTGCCGTAGGCTCTGAGCAAGATTTTCCCCAAATGTTATTAATGTGACTTGTATTTGGGAAAATGTTGCTCGTTGAAGGGCTATTTGTTTCATCACTTGGAGTTACTGCCAGTGCTGGCTTTCTTCCAATTCTGGCAATCCTCTGAGGTTTCAGAAAGAAATGCTTTGTTTTGTTTTTTCCCCCTCTCCCTATGGGGTAATTGGTTTTACATATGATTTAATTATTTCATTAACCAATTATCCTGTCACTGTATACAGAAACAACCCTAAAAACCCACCATTTTGTTATGAGTTAAGATGTTCACAATCAGTTTTTCCATTATTCTGAGTGAATGTGTAACAGTGAAATTTCTCACTAAAAGCTCAACTGGACCAACTGTATTTTCCATATTTGTAAGATGCTCTTGGAACTTTGCAAAGTAGTATCCAGTGATTTAGAGTAAGAAGAACTAAGATAAATGACCAATTGATCAATGCCAAAGAGGAATTACAAGAGCTGGGGATTCAGCTCAGTGGTGCTGTCCCTGCCTCAGAAGCACAGATCCAGAGTTAGATCCCCAGTACCAAAAAAAAGGAATTATAGACTTGAGGATTCTGTAGAAAAGTCATATTTTAGATCACCTTAGATTGTATTTTCATCAGAAATGAGAAGGGAATGTACTATCCTTTATCAATATCTGATCCCAGTCTTTTAATTGATTTTTTTTTATTCATAGTCTCATTTCATCTTTCCAAATCATATTCTTCATGGAGAGATTTTTTTTTTTAACCTGATGGATTGCTTTATAAACTTGTTTATTTAGTTGTGAGGCTTATTTCAAATCTGAACCTTATTTACTCTGTGTGTGTGTGTGTGTGTGTGTGTGTGTGTGTGTGTGTGTGTGTTTTGAAGGGCTCACAATCAAGTCATCCATTTGAAGCCTTCATGTTATAAATATGCTTTATAGGGATGTTTCGTTGAGTCCATTTACAAAATTTAATTGGATCTAAATAATTCAATCTGGTCTAAGAATATGAAGTACAGATGTGTATGATGCTGTTGCAACTGGTTCAGGCCTCGTCCTCTTTCAGGCTTCCTTTTTTTCTTCATTTTTCTCATTTGTGGAACTCCACATTTTGCTTTTCATGCTCATATTCCTGAAAGGCTCCAGTAATTAGACCATAGGCTTCCAAAGCAAGTTAGCATTTTTGTTTTAATGAGTAAGAGCAATTTCAGCTTTTCTTGTGGAGAGTGTTTCTGAGTCTCTAAAGTTATTCATAAATAACACAAAGTCTAATTTTACTATATAAGAAGAAAAGAGAATATTGCACTTTTATATCCTGGAATTCTGCCCTCCCTTAAGCCTTGGGGCCCTTGGCTGCTGCTGTCTGTTCATTTGCAGTGGCAGATGGCTTTATGCAAAATCAGGCCAATTATATTTGGTCAGAGGAAAAATCACCTTGCATTGTGAATAATTTCTACATTAGTGAAATTGACATATTTCTTTGAAAAATCAGCCATATCTATAGGGCAAACTGCCTTGCACAGCTCTGATTTGCTGAAGCAAGAGTCTCTCTGGTCTGTACATAGTCCTCCCATCTCCAAGGATGTGCCACACTCTTAAATTAGAAAAATTATTTTCAATGCCGATTATTAGCCATATTTAATAAAGCTATTATATTTTAGTAAATGGATAATATTCTTAAAATTTTGTAATTATTTTAGATAAATAAGTCAAACATCAGTATTACTCTATATATTTCTCATTTTTCCTTTACTAGAAATTATTTTGCCCAATTTTCTTTGGTGTAACTGTTCCCAAATTTCCTATAAAATCTCAGTGCTTTATTCCTGGTGGTTTTTTTCCTCCCTCCCCACAGCTGTCTGAACCTTTGTGCATTGACAGAACAATCCAGCTTCCATTTCTCCCTTCATTTCTTCCTCCTATAGGTTTTACCACTGTATTTCTCAAGTTAGTGTGAACAGCCAGAAAGTGAGAGGAAAGCCTTGACTAGTTAGCTTTAAGCTATTGATTGCGTTGCTCATTCTCAGATAAAAGATTGAGTTCTGCAGCTCAGATGGCACCATTTCCTTTCCAGGCAGGCAACCAGAGGTGGCGGATTATTCCTCTCCATTTGCTGTAGGGCCACAGAGGCACCTTCACCTTCTCATTCTTTATGGCCATGTTCAAGTCTTTAAACTCTCTGTCTTCAGTTTCTTTCTCTGGTATAGAAGTGTGAGGATTAAATCATAGTGAAATCAGTTCCCGTAAAGTACTCTGAAGGACAGATGCCAAGTGTCTCCAGGGACTCCTGTTGTTCCCCACCTGCGAGGGAACCTAGCTAAAGTCATAAAAAATTAGCTAATAATATCCCACATTATTATTGCTGTCATGTGCCGGGAACTGTTCTAAGTTTGAAGATAAGCCCTAATATTTAGTCACTGATTTATGTTTTTCAGGTTGAAAATTGGTGTCCTCATTTACCTTGGAGAATAAAAAATCCCTATGAAGAAGCTGATCATAATTCATTGGTAAATGACTTTGGAAAACTCTTCCTAAATTGTGCATTTAGGTCAGATGTTAAATGATACACATGGCATTTTTAGATTTGCCAAGCATGATTTGAAATAGTGTTCAACTGAAGAACTTTCATTACTAGTCCTGTAGAAATCCAGGGGACCAAACCAGTCGACCGGTTAGCATAGATTTACTTATTGAGCAATTATTTGAGGGCCTCTAAATGATAGAGAACTGATAGGAATGAGACCTGATGCCGAATGTGTAGGTGCAATGGTTGATCTAATGAGGAGCTAGCTGTAAATAATGACCGTGCCTGTTGCAGGGCTTTGAAGTGGGCTGATGGGAATAGTAAGGAAGAGGCAATCTGAGCCTGTAAAGGTCAGGGAAGATTACACAGAGAAGATGACATTCAAGCTGAATTTAAAATGATGAATGAGTTTCTAAGAGGTTAAGGAGAGAAGGATCTCTGATAACATGAAAGTGAACACTTGGTATTATAGAGCATAGCTCAGGGGGACAAGGACAGGAGGTTTGGATGAGCTGAGATGAAGCTGAGAGTGGAAAGGGTAGAAAGCTGACTGAACAACTGTATATGCCATGTCGAGAAGTGAAACTTTTCTTTGTTCTTTACACTGGGAATCAGCAAACTTCTTCTTTGAAAAGCTAGATAATATTTTCATTTTTGCAAGCCATGCAATCTCTGTTGCAGCTACTCAGTTCTGCCACTGTAGCCCTGAGTAGCCACAGACAGTATGTAAATGAAGGAACATGGGTGTGTGCCAGTAAAACTTCACACTAAAAAACAGTCAGTGATGGGGACTGGCCCTACTCTGCTGACCACAAGAAGAGAGGTGATTAAAATGAACCGTGCTGATTACTAAAGGATAGATTCAGTGTGTGTGAGGTGTTCTTTGAGGTATTATGCTTCTCTGTGGCTCTAATCATGGGTTGTACCCAGCTGTATTATCCAGAATATTAGGAAAAATATATTTTTGGATTTTAAATCATACTGGTCAGAATTTTAAATAGTATTGAGCTATGGTAGGGAAGGAATGTCCCTGGATCTTGAATACCTTAAAAATAATAAATTTTTGTTGGTTTGGATGAGAATGAAACTAGAAGATTAGCATTTATTTCCCCATTTAATGCTATGGAGAGAAAAAAGTTCATAGGCAACCAACATGATGTTAGTCACGTACTCGGATCTGACTTCAATTTTCCTGGGGGTCTGCTACCTAGCGGTCGATTCAAGCAGCATGATAAATTTCACAACAGAATTTCAAGGTACATCAAGCATGCTTGTTGTAAAAGCTGCATTTTAACATAGCTCAGGGCTTTGCAGTGACTACTGCCTTTCTCAATTTCTAATTTTTTAATGATATCCCTTATAACAGATCAGTACCCAGGGACCTACTAATAAAAGCTGGGCAGCATGGCAAGACTCAGTTTTGAAGCTCTGGATTTAATTGACTTTCACTTTCAAGTTTTCAAATGTCACATCGTGAAAACCATTAGGCTTTTTGGCTTTTATCTTCTATACATTTTATTAAATTTCTGTTTCTAGGCAGAAATTCGTACGGATTTTAATATTCTCTACAGTATGATGAAAAAGCATGAAGAATTCCGGTGGATGAGACTTCGGATCCGGCGAATGGCTGATGCTTGGATCCAAGCAATCAAGTCCCTGGCAGAAAAGCAAAATCTTGAAAAGAGAAAGCGGAAGAAAGTGAGTTTCTTCTTAATTCATTTCAGTCAGATGCCAGTTTTCTTTTAAAATTTGATTTTGTGTGGAAACAGGAATAAGAGAAATGTCATGTCTCACATGATCTTCCCTCAGGGTGAATCAGCGCAGCCTCTTGTACACTCCTTTTTTTGGTTTTTATTACCCAAAATACTTTCATTTAGCAGAGACCGATCCAAGTTTCTTAGACCAAGTTAAGCTGAATATCTGCCTGTCGGGTTGTCCTTTCAACCTGATTGCCTGTCTGAGGGTATTAGGAAACATTCCCCCATTTCTTTACCTAAACCCACCCTTGAGAATTTCCTGTTATATCATGGCAATTTCACGTGTTTGTTGTTTGTTCATCCTGGGTCTCGGCCACATGCGAGTTCCATTGCTCCTGTATTTAATTGTTGTTTCTGCTTATATATCTAGAAAGGAGATTTTATTAAACTTGAGCCATATTGTTTTAGTTCATGGGTCAGGCCTAGAAACCCTGTGAAATGCTCCTGGCTTAGAAGTTCTACCTTCTTAGTTATAGATTAAGTGACTGGCTATGGATTAACTATTGTGATTTCAGAACTGAGCAAAGTTCTGAAAAGAACTCCAGAATGAATATGATTCATTTGATATCTTTGAAAAGGAAAGTACAGATACATTTTATAAGACCCCAGGTCACAGTTTGATGGGTCAGTTTTTCTCAGATTCCTTGAGTTTGAGACACTAAGACCAGACAGTTTGACACTAAACAGTGTGTGGAGGGAGTGTGATGAAATTCTGCAAGTGGGCTGTAAAAAGAAAGAATATAGTGGACCCTCAAGTTACAACTGGCCTGACATATAAACACCTTGGGTTAATTGGATTAATGGAAGATTTGTCTGCCTCTTGTTAACTATAGTGTATACCTAGGTAAACATCCAGATCTCAGCTGTATTGACTTAAACACAACTTGGGTTACATCCCACCCTTAAGAACTGATTGAGTTTGTAAGTTAAGTGTCCACTGTATTTCTCAATAGCTTTAAAGAGCCATCTACAGAATATAATGTCAGATTAAAAAAAAAAGGTTAAGTAGAGACTAGTATACATTATTTTTAAAAAGAGGAGGGAATTTTTACCCACCTACATATATACAGATCTGTACATCTATGCAAACACATAACATGCATGTTTTTTTTGCAACCATATTGAAAGATAAAAAAATTTAAAATGAGATGGATGGTGGTGATAATTGCACAACAATGTAAATGTTCTTAATGCTACTAAACTGCGTATGTTAAAACGGTAAATTTTATGCATATTTTAGCATAAGAAGAAAAAACGGAGGGAGGGAATAGTACAACATTATCAGATGTAGAAACTAGCCCTCTCTGAATGTATCTTTGTAGATTTGATGCTGTAATCATTTTACATTAAATGTGAACATTTAATTACAATAAAAGTCCTAAGGAAAATAAGAAAGAATCAACTCCATATCCATCCAGGTTTGATATAATGATACAAGCACACCAAGAGGTTTATTCTTTTTTTTCTTTTTGGTACTGGGAATCGAACTCAGGTCCTTGTGCTTGCAAGGCAGGCTGCGGAACCACTAAGCCAAATCCCCAGCCCCTACCAAGAGGACATTTCTGATGGGATTTCACAGAGGACAAAAAGAGCTGCAAAATATTTTAAAACAATTTTTACAAATCATGTTATATGTGGAAGTATCAGTGTCCTCATTCTCAATTCATTGTGAATAATTGGATAACCACAAATGAGTAATTATGTTAGTGTCTTTGAAAAGTAGGATTTTCTTTGTGGGAGAGAGGAAATAACAGATGTAAGATGAATAGTGTTATGTAAAAAGATTACAGCCCGAGTTTGAATTTGAAGTACTATTAAGAACTCAAAATTTATTGTATCTCAGAGGAAAAACACATTTCCTAGCTAGTGCCACTGAAAAAGCCTTCAAATAGTGATTAACTGGGGTCCCTTAAGCCCTAGACTTTGATCTTTAAATGCTATTTCCACCAAGTGGTGTAAGAGATTCTTGGAAAAATGGTGCATTGAGGAGGCAGAAATTGTGCATGGCGAGCTTAGAACATTTTGTCATACCTAAGGGCAGAAAAGCTATGAAAGGCTGATAGGATGTGTCCGAAGATTTGAGGGGCCAACTTGAATAGCTTCCCACTGGCCAAGGTGGGACAGTTTGATAGAGTAGTACCGCAGTTTATTGAAACACATTAAATATGATTATATATATGATTTTATAATACTTTAAAAACGAAACAGGAATCATAATTAGAGTATGCTTTAGAAAAAGACTTGTTATCCTGAAAACTGGAAAATAAATGGAAAAAAATCAAGTTTTCACTGGGCTCATTCCAAGCAAACTATACTTTAGGATGATCCAATAGAGTTTTTTTTATACATGTATTTTAGCTAATAGATGTAAAATGAGTGATAGAATATCAGTACTCTGCAGCCTCACCAAAAACTAATTAGTTTAGTTACTGGTTATCAGTGGCTGCTAGTCTCACAAAACAGACACCTAGGTGTGTTTCCTTCCAGTGAAAGTTCATAGCTGCACTTAGCAAGTAAATAATTGAGTGTGAATTTGATCAGAACTTAAGTTTTAATTACTAATTTACCATGAATATGAAGGAAAGAATGATCTGTTTTTGCAACACCTTGGATTTGGAATCAGCAAAATTCAGAGTGTAGGGGACTCTGTTGAAAACATAACCCAGTGTAAGCGACCCCCTCAAAGACAGAGTAATAGGACGTTACAGAGATTAAAGGCTGCTAAGAGACAGATGAGGCAGTTATAATGTGTACACTTTTAACTTCTGAATCATACAACTGCACAACTTCTGAATCATGTAACTGCACTTAGGAAAGGGAAGGCTGAGGAAATAAAAACATTAACTATATTCTAGGTGACATAAGGAATTATATAGCTTGTTTTACAGGTGACAAGGATGTGGCTGTGGTTTTGAAGTGAAAGTTTATTTTGTTTACAGATGCATTTTGAAATATTTGCAGATGGAAAGAGGCTCTAAACTTTGCTTCAAAGTATTCTGGGGTTCAGGATCAAAGGGAACATAGATTAAATAAGATTTGTCGTGAATTAATAGTTATCAAAGCTATATGGTAAGTCTGGGGCTGATGTATTGTCTTATCCGCTTATCTTTGTGTTGGAAATTTTTCATGGGAAAAGATTAAAATATTTCAGCTATGGAAAAAACTAAATATTGTTAAAAAATACTAATATTCTAGCTTATTTTCCTTTCATTCTGGTCTTACAAATATACCCCATTTTTAAAAAGCGGAATAATGCATCCATATTGCATACATATAGACACATTAAGGGCAATAATGATTTCCTTTTTCTAAAACATGGAGAAAAATATTTCTTTCCTGTCTTTGTACCTTCTGGAAAAATGGAATGCCCCATATTGAGATTTCCCTACGACTTAAGCGTGAAGTTAAAATTGATCGCTTTTTGGTGTGTTACTGTGGGCTTTGTATTTGGTTCAGTGCAAATGAATACATGCGTTTTTTGTTTTCCAGGTCCTTGTTCACCTGGGACTCCTGACCAAAGAATCTGGATTTAAGATTGCAGAGACAGCATTCAGTGGTGGCCCTCTTGGTGAATTAGTTCAGTGGAGTGATTTAATTACATCTCTGTACTTACTGGGCCATGACATTAGGATTTCAGCTTCACTGGCTGAGCTCAAGGAGTAAGGAGATTACTTTTCAATTTTAAAATCAGAATACAAAAAAGAAATTGTAAACTCTTAAAGCCCTCTATTAGTGTGTAATTTCTTGCAGAGGAAAATGAAAGTGATAATTCACTAAACAGGAGATAAGAAGATTATTTTCAGGAGCTAAATACATACACTGTGAAAAGGATAATATGTTTTCATTGTAGCTGCAGGTTCCCAAGGCTTTGTGAATGAATGCCAGAAAATTCAAACTAAGGAGCTTATTCTTTGCTATTACAGGTGCTTCCAACATCTGCAGCACAAAACATTATTGACTTTTCTAATTCCCTGTCTCTTACTGAAACTCATACTGTTCTCTGCTCAACATCAGGCTTTTTAAGTTTTACAACAGGGCAGTTTCCTGTTTATAATTTAATTTGGATAAAACAAATTTCTAAAAGCCCTGATCCAATCCTTTTTCAATTAGTCAACTTTCAGCTAAGTCCATTAACTCTTCCTTAACCTTGAGTTTCACTGAAATTTGCACCTAGCTTTAACCGTCTCACAATCCCTTTTCCATTTACCCAGCTGGCCAAGCAGGGACACCTAGATCCCCTCACTCCTAAGTGACTGCCCTTGGAGATGTCCTACCCAGCCACCAAATATTGTATAGCAGTGTTGAGTATTTCCTGGAGAAATACTGTGAATGAACGCACGAGAGATGGGAGAGGGGCTAAAGCACATAGATGGCCCACCCCAAGGTGTTGACACTCAGCGAAGACACTTGTGTTAAGTCAAAGATTAATGCCTGCTCGGTTGCAGTACATATTTGGTATAAAAGCAGTAAGTTTGGTAATACATCAGCTATTATTTGTTAATAATTTCCTCAAAAGTTAAAGTTACAATGGCAGTATCACCAATTATAATGACTCTCGTGTTGATGATGACTATTCACAACTAACCTTCGTGGACCTTTTACTGGTCTTTGGCGCATGGAAGTAGATGCTACTGTTGCCTGCATTTTAAAAATAAGGAAGCTGAGGTTCAAACCAAAGTGAGTTGGCTGAGGTCTTAGGGATCACAGTGGTTTGATCCCAGTGTCTGCCTGCATTCACAGCCTGTATTCTCAATCCCAGTCCTCCATTGGTCCTTTCAGAAGTAGACAGTTGAGATATCTTATCAGCCTTAATCCTCATTCCTGTCCCTTGGACAGGCTATGTCCTATTTCCTTCTTCCTGCTTGCCCTGAAATAGGTTGGGTCCATAGCCCATAAAGTGAATGAATTCATACATTTCTCCATCACTCACTCAGTGTCTTCTGTGAGTGGCTTTTGGTATGAAATAGAACAGAGTTTATTTAAGGAGCTGCCAATCATTTCATCATCTAAAGTAATACATTAATAACTGCACTAATTACAAATCTGTTAGTATTAATGGAGAGATGCTTGCTAGAGTGTAAGTACAGGGAATACAGAAAACTGAACATTATTCACCCCTGTGTACTTAGCTCTTAGTGGCCCTTAATGCCTAGCATACTGTGGGTACTCACACAGATACTGAACCAGCGAGTGAAGGAAGGAGTGAGTGAGTGTGTGCATAGATGAACACGTGGACTACTATGCAAGTACCAAGGACAGAAATCACCTGGGAAGCTCAGGGGAGAGCTATTAGAAATGTACCAGGCATAGACATAGCCCATGATTACAGGAAAGTGTGGTGGCATTGGTCTTTATGTACATCAAGGTCAGGGCTAGATGTGTTTTATTTAGGAAGAAAATTGTGAGAATAACATAGAACAGTGATCCTCAAATATGCCTGCAGTTAGTGTCATTTGGGATCTTTCTGTTTTATTTTTTAGGCTTTTGGGATCTCCTTAAAATCCTTATAGATTATTCCTAAGCTAGTTAAAGCACAGCCTTGAAAATAGAACACAGCCATAAGAATTTTATGATGCATCAAAGTAAATCCAGCATCCACATAAGTTTGAGAACCATTGAACACAGGGTGCACCAGAGATCCACAAACCATGGCCAAATTTAGATCTGTCTCTGTTTTTGTGAAGTTTCGTGGATCCAAGCTAATTCCATTGCTATATATGGTTTATCGCCACCTTCGTCCTACAGGGGTAGAGTTGTATGGCCTACAGAGATAAAAATATTTTTCCAACCCTTACAGAAAGTTTTCTAACCCTTAGGAAGAAATTGATTCTATGGAACCTACCCTTGTCAGAAACCCAGAGAAGAGGGACAAAGGTGCCAAAAGCAATAGGGGAGCAGCACTATACAGCAGAGGCCTATTTGAGATTTTTGTCCTTTGGAGTAGGAGTTTCACAGAGTGGTGAAGAATTATTGTAGGGTGTGAATGGTGCTAAGACTCAATAGTAATGACTACTTTTGAGTAGAAGGTAGATGCTTCGTATTTCTTCCTACCCATTAAGTTGGCATGCTACTCAAGTCCATTGTCATTTCCTGAGTGCTTTATATGTCTAGGTAGAAGAGTGAGTATACAGGTGAAAGAAAAGTTAATGAAGACGTATAATCCATAATTCTAGTTCTGTAATGCAGTCTAGCTAAAAGAATAAGTGTGACATAACAAAAAATTAGTGAACAGGGCTAGACTGTATAAGAAATAACCTGTACTGTAGAGCCTAACAAGTGCAGACATTTAGAGAACGGAGTGGTCAGATAAGAAATAAGGTAGAATATCACTTTCATATCCAGTCTTTTTTTCTGGGGGATAAGGAAAGACATACTCAAGTTAAGTACCTAATCGAAGGTCTCGTAACTGCTGTACAGATTCAGACCCACATCTTCCTTGATTTCAAATGCTGTGTTCACAGTGCTGTTTGGTTTTTCAGCATAAGAATCAGGGGTCTAGGTTGGACTTGACAGGTCAGAAGGATTGAGGCAGGTAGTAGACTTGGAAGGGCCATGCTGTCATTGCTGTTAAAAAATTTTGTAGTGGTTATTTGCGTGTTTAATTTGCCTAGTACCTCAAAGTAAGTGTTTCTTTTTTCCCTCTTTTCTGCCCTTTTTCTAGAATTATGAAGAAGGTTGTAGGAAACCGGTCTGGCTGCCCAACTGTAGGAGACAGAATCGTTGAGCTCATTTATATTGATATTGTGGGACTTGCTCAGTTCAAGAAAACTCTGGGACCCTCTTGGGTTCATTACCAGTAAGTACCGTTCTTATTTTTTTAAGCACGCCCCCCACAAGAGTAGAAAAAGATGATTAAATGTTACTTTTTGAACAGCGTGGCCTATGTTTCTCTTTCCTAATTGAAATTCAGATTTTGGACAGTGACTTTCCTACTGCCTAGAGCTATTCATTATTTTCGTTGATGTCTTGAGCAGACAAGGGTCCAGTCTCAATCCTTAATGCGTACGTAAGATTCCCCTTTCATTATGCCTAAACTGGCCTCATCTCTTAGTCAAACAAGGATGTTGATAAAATATGCAAATTGTTCCTTTTAGTGGCCCTTCGACTGGAGATGATGATGACTCCTGTCTCCCTTCCGTTCTCCTTCATCAGTGTCCTCATCATTCTCGGGAGGGAAAGCCGGGCACCTTGTGTGACAGCTGAGGTCTTTGCCTTTTTAAGATAAGTCTGAGCTGCATGTGACTGTGGTCCATGTGGTCTCTGTGCAGTGTTTATTACTTAGTAGAAGAGCCCATGATTCAGTATTTGAAACAATTTATTGGTCCACAAACATGGCACTAAATGACTTAAACTGCATAAGATTTTTTTAAAATTTTATTTCAGCCTCTCTGAAAAGACCTTCTTTGATGCTGTTGTATCTCCATCACTTCTCTTAATGCCTGCATGTGCTTTTTACAGAGTGAGAGTGGCTGCATATACCAACCTTCAAGCACAATAAACTCCTAGTTTTTTATTGAATACTTTTTAAAGGCTTTATTGTTAGTTGTCTTCTGTTTATTAGCATTTATGGTCTATAAAATATTACTATAAAATTTTGGTTTGTTTTTAAGACAGGGTCTCCCTCTGCAGTTCAGGCTGGCCTTGAACTCAGTATGTAGCCAAGGCTGGCCTTGAACTTGGGGCTATCCTCCTGCTTCAGCCTCCTAAGTGCTGGGATTACAGGTGTGTGCCACCATGCCTGTCTCTTAAAAATAACTTTTTAAAGGTTAACTAAGTTTAAACAAAGAATATCTTTTGTTTAATAGTGTCAGTATTTGAAGAATGTGGGTAAAACTTTTGAAGGCTAGGAAAGCACTGTACCAGGGGCAGTAAATGCTGATGTCAACTTCTAACTAATTTCCTAAGAGAATGTCTGGAAAATCTCAGTAAGTATAACATGGAAATCTTGCTATGTGTTTCTTTGCTGTTGCTCTTGGGTAAGGTGATGTTTTGATGGGTCTTCCACCTTAACCGGTAAATGAATTTGAATGGTCTGATCTCTTGACTCTTTTTCACGTTAGTTAAGTTTAATATTAGTAACCTGCTTTGCCCAAGGTTGTGTCAGGTTCAAGGCCTTCAAAAATCAGAAATGGGGCCAGGGATTTAGCTCAGTGGCGCCGCATCTGCCTCGCAAGCACAAGGTCCTGAATCTGATCCCTGGTACCAAAAAAAAAAAAAAAAAAAAACAATTAAAAAAAAAAAAAAAAAAAAAATCAGATGTTAAACAGAATACTAAAAATCTTCTCAAAAGCATGGAAGGAAGAGATGCCCATTATCTGTAAAATTCCATTTCATTGTACAGGGTTTTCTTCCCAGCAATATTGATTTTTCTCATTGAACAATAAATAGAAGAGATTAATGAAATAGATAGAGACTATTGATGAAATAATTAGATATACTCTCTTGTTCATTCCCTTTTTGTAATATAGTTTCATTTAAAAAAAGAAAGAAAAATATAATCTTTGTTTGGGCCAGTATACTGCTCTGCATTTTTTGTCTTCTCCTGTTGTGTGTTTTTTTCCTTGAAGTCTCCATGAATCTTGGACTAGCACATATGTTCTCAGTTAGATAGAAAGGACCATCTTTTTGGTTAATAAGCCATGTAGTAAAGGTAATTGTTTGTTTTGCTGTAGCCTTAAGGGCAGGGCTGTTGTTTTCCAGCATTTTGTGAGTGGCAGACACCTGGAAAATGTGTGAAGAAAACTGGACAGTTCAGGTCTCCCGAGACCCTTGTGTCTTTACCATTAAGAGGGGCTGTTTGGGTGGAAAAATATTCTCAGCAGCAGAGTTTAGGTCAGTTAAGAGAGGCGATGCTGTTTGTTATTCATATGGTTGCTGTACATTGGTGTTTGACTCATGTTGTACAGAAAGTGAAATGTTTATCTGGCCCTTTTGATGACTGGTCTGCATAGTAATGGCAATCAGGGGATCTGTTGGTGCTTTAGCTCTGTAGTCTTTGGTATGACTGAGCAGAGTCCCTCAGAATGCCAAACAGGTACTCTAGAAAGAAAGCCTTACCCATTTCTCCTCCCTTTACAATTAGAAGTTGTCAGCTCTCTGTGTTCCTCTTGGTTGATGGTAAGTACTATGAATTACATGCAGTGTTTTCATCCGATCTCTCAATTGGGAGCAAGCCCTTAAGCCTGTTGATTTGGGGAAAATATTTGTAAATTTTGTTCAGTTCACATGAGGATCTAGGAAATTCAGTTAAACATTTATTAAATAACTACATATATGCAACTAATTCTGCTAGGAGCTGTGAAACTCACCCTCTTCTGCTTCATCTGAGGTCTTTTGATGAGCATTGAGGAGATATAAGAAATAAGATGCAGATAGTCCAAGTCACGCCATGATTTACATCAAACTCCAAAACAGAAAGCTCCTGGCAAGGAGCTTTGGGAGCATCCATCTTAAAGTACTGTAGCTGAGAGTAAAAAGAATGTTGCAGGAGTCATTGAGATTTTGCTGAGGTTCCTGTTAGCAGAAGGCAAGCTGCCTTGAGAAACAAAGCAAGTATCGTTTGTTTTTTTTTTCCCCAGCTTTAATTGAGTTTATTGGTACATTTTAGGGATACAGTACAGTTACATTCATTGTTGGGATCTTGTACCTCTACATGACAAGTCTTGATTCTCATTTTTTCCCCTTACCCCTGCCCTCCCTTCACCCCCTCCTCCCCTCCCCATCTACAAACACTTTTTTTTTCATCTTTTCATGCAAGTGTCGTTTTAAAGTCATTAGTCTGTTCCTGATGCCCCAAACATAACAAAACATTAGAGAGATGACATAAAAGATTAAGAACAATTCCAAAACAGATGTAAAGAGTGCTCAAAGAATGAAAACTATCATTTTTTGACTTTGTTTTTCTCATTGAGTTTATTGGTGCATTTTAGGTATACAGTACAGTTACATTCATCATTGGGATCTTGTACCTTTACGTGACAAGTCTTGGTTCTCATTTTTTTCCCCTTACTCCTGCCCTCCCTTCACCCCTCCTCCCTTCCCTATTTACAAATACTTTATTTTAAATCTCCCATATCATAGATAGAGGTCAGTCCTCTACTTCTGGTTTATAAAACAAACCTATATAAGCTAGGAAATAAACAGTGCTTCAGCCAAAAGCCTCAAGTAAAAGGATGTCAAACTGTAAGTTTCTTGGAGACAGCTGATCATGGTCTTGTTGCCAAGAAACCAGAGGTAGCTTACATCTTGACTTGAAAGAAGCTCAGGCCAACAGGAGGTAGGCTCTTACTTACTAGGCAGCATTTTCTTTTTGGAAGCAAAACATTCATTGGTACATTTTAGATGTACATAATGATAATATTCATCATAGGGAATTTATACTTGTACATGATGTATTTTGCTGCTGCTTTTTTTTCCCATTTCCCCTCCCTTCGACCCCTTATTTACAAAAAGTTGCTTGTACTTTTTCCTTCTATTCTTTTTTTTTGTCTATTTTCCTTTCCCCCTCCCTCTTCCCTCATTCCCCTTCTTATTTGAACATTTTTTCTTGCTCACCAGGACTCACTTTAATTATCCAAATCAGTAGTAACAATAATAAAGTTCAAAGTTAAAAACACAGTCACCAACCTAACTTAGAGAAGAATATAGACTGTGACTTCTTTTTCTGGAGCTCTGGGGACCTGTTTTTGTCGCCCTCCTAGTTGCCTTGTTGATACAGTGGAAACTGGCAAGCCAGGCATGGTGGTGTGCACTTGTAGTCCTAGCTGCTCAGCCGCAGACTGAGGCAAGAGGATTGTGGGAGCTCACGAGTTCAAGACCACTCTGGGCAACATAGCGAGACTCGTTCTTAAGAAAATTGCCCTTTTGATCAGAGTGTGTTTACCGAAAGCCTAACAAGGGAATTATTTCTGTGGTCAGCTTTTATTTCATTCTGTGATTATAGCCTTCCCTCATACTCTTTTTTTTCTTCCTTGTGTAAACAAATGGGGTTAAGAAAATCACATTAAAAATGGCAATTAACAGTTGTGCTTCCTAGAAAAAAAAAATCTGTTGTGGTATTTGGATTTTGTTGTTGTTTGTTTTGGACTCTTACAGCGAAGTGAAAATTTTAAAATTGAAACAGTGTTTTTCTAATAATAGTAGAATATAGAAGAAAGAAACTGAGTCACATCCTTAAAATTGTTATTGTCTTCATCTGATGCTCTAATCTATATGTTATGCCTGGTGGTCCAGTAAAAGTTTTTCAGAAGTATTATTGATAAGAACAACAGAAAAATAGATGTTTTTATTAGCCATTCAGGAGCTTAATTTGCAGGAATGTTTTGAGAATTGGTGATGAAATCAGTGTAACCAAAGTCAGTAAATTTTGTTTCAGTATTAACTCCTTCCCGTTGGTGATTCTTTCCCACCCTCTAGAGCTGTGGTCAGAAGACATCTGTCAAGGGCCTGCTAGTAAATATTTGAGACTTTATAGTCCATACATACATTCTCAGCTCTGTTCCTACAGCATGAAGGTAGTAACAGATAATAGGAATAGGGTGTCATTGCATTCATATAAAACTTTATTTTTAAATTCATAAATATGAAATTCGTATAATTTTTACATGTCACACAATATTCTGCTGTTTTTAAAAAATCTAAAGACTATCCTTAGGCCATAGCCACACAAAAGTAGGTTTTAGGCCCCCTTTGGCCTTTGGTAGCATAGGCAAATGAAACATCTTCAGTTGTGTTCCATCAGGCTCTAGAAAAATTAAGTTCTATGGTTATTAGGTACATAAAAATGTCATACCCATTGAGTCAGATTCTAAGCATAGTTCACCTTGTGTGGTCATGACAGAATACCTGAGCCTGAATAACTTAACGATGGAAAGAAGCTAATTTCTCACCATTCCAAAGTCTGGAAAGTCCCAGGTGGAGGGCCACATCTGGTGAGGGCCATCTTGCTGTGCCATAGACTAGGGGAAGGCATGGCAAAGTGAGAGAAAAAGAGCCAGTTGGCCTAAGTCCTGTATCTTCCCCTTTTCTCATGAAGCCATTAATGCCATCCTGGGCACCCATCCTCAAGCCCTCTAACCCTGAGTACCTCTCAGAGGCCCCAGCTCAGACTGCCGTCGACCTATGAATTTGAGGATTAAGATTCCGATGCGTGAGCTTTCAGGGGATTAGTCACAATAGCGCAACCTATATCTAAAATCAAATAGTCCAGTTAGCTGATATAAATATTAAAAATTTATAGTGGGAGACACAGCACATGGCCCATGCATCAAGCAAATTGAGACCTGTAGAGGTAGGAACTCTGTTTCTGTAATAACCACTGTATGCTGGGAGTATAGCGGTAAATATCGCAGACCCGACTAACGCTTTGAGGAAACTTTTCATTTTACTGATCCTCGACAGTCTGCTATGTTATTAGACTATCTGAAACAAATCCTGTCTACTCTGTGATGGCGTTGGTTCTCAAATCACAAATGTAGCTGCTTGGTATAGTTATTCTAGAGCAGTAGTAGCAAACCTTACAGAGCTTTCAATGATGCAAACAGCCTACTGCAGCCTGCATGCCGTAGGTTCACCACCGTTGTTGTAGAGCGCTACTGGCTGTGGATGTAGCTCAGAGGTAGAATGGTTGCCTAGCATGTGCAAGGCTCTGGGTTCAGTTCTTGGCTCTGTAAAAAATAAAAGATAACACCTATCAATTCTTGCCTGGTAGCATTTTTCATTTAAAATATTTGTCTGTTTTTGGTAGTCCTTGAAGAGGCTAGAGCTTTTTCTTTTTGGACTTTGAGGTCAAGGTTGTAGCTTTACACACATCGCTTTTCCTTTCAGGTGCATGCTCAGAGTCCTGGATTCATTTGGTACTGAGCCAGAGTTTAATCATGCGAATTATGCCCAGTCGAAAGGCCACAAGACCCCCTGGGGAAAATGGAATCTGAATCCTCAGCAGTTTTATACCATGTTCCGTGAGTATTTATGTTCCTCCTCTACCTTCCAGAATGCCACCAAAGGCAACCATCTATTTGGGGTTGTTATTTTCAAGACCCTTAGGTGAAGAAGTGTGTGCTCTTGAACCTTTTGCTTGGGATAAGTGAATTTTTCTTTTAATTGGAGTTGAAAATCTATGTGAGCAATTTGTGAAAAGCCTTGGAAATGTTTTGGAGAAAAATGTTGACCACAGATTGCCTGTAGAAAAGAACTTCAGGCCACCTTTGGATTGGCACAGCCTAAGTACACCTTGTGCTACACTGATGCTGCCGAGGGTCTACTTCGTTTTTAAGGAGGAGTGTTGTCTACATAACTATATATTAATGAATTAAGTGCCAGATTTTCCAGAGGAAAAACATCTGGCCTTTTCTAAGTGCAGCTGTTTTAAACTCATTTTGTACTCTACTGACTTCCTCAACACTGGACTTAGAACGAGATTCTCCCCTCCCCTGCCAACCTGGTAGCACTGTGGTCAGTAACAGTGACTATTTTATGAGGGAAGAGAGTTCATAAACAGGACGGTGCGCTGACAGCTGGCCCTACTGTTAGACTTTTAGAATTTTCCGTTTCTGGGCCATTCTTTTCTAGTCCTCACCAGGCTCCTTACTGTTACTTTGCATTTTTCTGCTTAAATAGAGCCTCATTTCTAATTAGTTGATGATTATGAAGCCAAGTACCAAATCTGATAGCCTTTGTGCCAAAAATATGTATATATTATTTAAGTCACTACAGCATAGTAACAAAGTGAAGTTCTTTTCTGAAAAAGAACAGCTACATGAGTGAAATGGTTAGTTTGAATGCTCAGAGTAGAAAATTCCCGTTTTCTAAAATTACCAGTGTAATTTTAACCCAGAGATTTCCATTCTAGAAATCATTTCAGAGATGTCAGTCTGTCTGCTTTGTTGAGTGAGGACCTGAGAGAGCCCTTCTCGTGCGGCCACCCTGTCCTTTGCACGCAAACACCCCAAAATGACCCTTTATTCAGGCTCACTCAATGTAATGCCAAGTAAACTGGGTTAATCCTTGGGTGTTGGTTCAAAGGGGAAAATGAAGGGTTACAGCTGATGAGGGGAGTGGTTTCTAAAATCAACTTATATTTAAATGTCATTTTAGCTCAGAGAAGTTGGCAAGAGCGTGCTGTATGCCTTGTCAACATTATTATTGCCCCTGGAGCTATATTATCCTGTTATTACAACCTGTCCCTGGCACACAGAGTTCAGGGAACAACTAATATTTGGCACCTTAGGTGATAGGTGGCTGTCGGCACGGTCAGGCATGATTAGAGTTAAGCCTGTGGTTTGTCTTTGTTGTGAAACTTGAGAGGCTAGGATGAGGTGACGCTGAACAAACTAAGAAATGAACTGTGTGCTATGCCAAGTGACGTAAAATGTTACCTCTGTCCAAAATGGCCTAAGCTGCCTGGAGGATATGTAGGCATGCGCCCTCCAAAATGCAGTGTTTTCTTTTGTCCAGGCTGAGAGAGGAGAGTTGTTCCATCAAGTGTAGACTTCTCTTTCAGAATGGTAAGATATAGCGCCCTGCAAACCTATATTGTGTTCCATAGTACTCGTTGATTGAATTTTGAAAGAGATTCACTGTTTAAAGTGTTACTTAGGGCTGGGGATTTTGCTTATTGGGGTGCTGCTGCCTGCCTTACAAGCGCAATGTCCTGAGTTAGATCCCCGGTACCAAAAAAAAAAAAAAAAAAAGTTCCTGAAATGTAATCCCACCTACTCGGGGCTGAGGCAGGAGAATCACAAGTTTGAGATCAGCCTGGGAAAGTTAGGGGTCCCTTATGTCAAAATAAAAATAAAAAGGATAGGGATATGGCTCAGTCACTTACCTAGCATATGGGAGGCCCTCGGTTCCATCCCCAGTATCTGGAAAAACTATGTAACTAAAGCTGGAAGCACAGAGTAATTTCTATTAATCTGGGAAGAGAGATAAGTTTCCTAACTGTTACAGAATTCAGCAGGAATCGGTGAAATTTGATACGTTTTACTGCCTTCTTAAAAAAAAGGAAATTTATAGCAAAACATTCGCAAATGCTATAGGCACTATGATTTGCCTTTATATTCATAGTAGGAAATATTTATGTTGTTATTTGAAATTGTTATAGTGTGGGAACTAAGATTTTCGGTATGTGATAAAGGGAGAACTGGCATAAAGGCTATGTAATATTCAGTTCGAATAGGAAATAGCAACATGTACCTTTTTTTTTTCCTTTAAGAAGAAGTTTCCCAGCTCTGCTTTGAAAAGGAACAAAAGAAAAGTGAAGTCACCCTGATGCGTAGCAATGATTCCTTAGCGCTCACACTGGGGTTCCCCAAATTATCTTTTCTCAGTAAAAGGAGCCTCCTCCTAGGGTCAAGAACAGATCACAGGTCCAATGCAGGGATCAAGATGGACCATCTTACCATGCCAGAAGGAAAAGAAAGGAAGCCAAGGAGGACTGCTGGGGTGGAATCAAGAGGACACAGGGCCCCAGAATAGGGTAGTGTGAGCGTGAAAAGACACTGGTTAAAATCAAATGAAAAAAAAGTTGAGACCAAAATGATGCACCGAGCAAGAAAACCCCACAAGATGTAGTTGGTCACCTTTACAAGTTGCTAGGACACTTGACTCATTATTCTAAAAAAAATAAATAAATAAAGAGGAAAAGAATCCATCTTTGATCTTCCTGCCTTTCAAGCACAAATTATATTTGAAATAATCAAATGGTTGATGAGAGAAAGTTGTTAATCACAGAGAAATCAGAGATAATAAATGCAGAAGGAATGAAGAATTAGAAAATGAGCATTTTGAGGAGCTTAATGAGACAGTGAAGCAAGGCCTCGCCAGTGGTTCTAAATCCATGGGAAAACCTGTCATGGGACAGGTTGATGGAAAACTTTCTTGTGGATAAGGCTGTCTTGAATGGAGGAAATATGGAAATGAGTAGAGAAATGAAGCAGTTTGAGGCATTTATCATGGTGAGATAGATGTATGTAGAATTTGCAGCACAGAACAGTTTGTCCTGCTCTTTCTCATCCAGAGCCTACCCACAGTGAATTTGGAGACTTCTTGCTGGAAAGTCCCTCTCTTCTCTATGACAGGAGCAATGTCCACCCCAGGTGTTTGGATAAATGTGGCTATTCTTGTGCTCTGAAGGGAAAAACTGTTCCTTTGAATTAAGAAGAAAATGACCAAAATTATATTTACTAGTGAAACTCACTAGTACTTGGCATGTGGTCCCATAGTCATCATTATATAAATGATGTATAAATGTGCTCATACATTGAAGGTATTAGAGGCTCTTGTGCATTTAGATTATTTTCTGTTGTTGGGGTACCTGATGGAAAATTTAAACAACAAAGAAATAGTGTTTTCTTTGTAGAATCGAGTCAGTTGTTTTAGGAGGTTTGCAACATTGCAGCATGTGTGCATTGAAGAGAGCGCTCAGCACAGAGAAAGAGAAAAACTACTCATTGGTGCAACATCTTTAGGACCATTCAAATGAAATCTACTGGACCAGCACATGTTCGCTTCTTAAATATTCGTGTCACATTTCATACTTAAAGGTTTTTCCAGTTTCTCCTCTGATTTCTTGCTAACGTGGTAGGAATTCTACAAATTGTAAAGCTTTGGTTTGTGTGTGTGTGTGTGTGTGTGTGTGTGTGTGTGTGTTGTTTTGCCCCAAACTTGTTTTCCAAATTCACTGGAATGACCCCCTCTTTGTATCCTGAGTGTTATAAAGCATTTTAGGATATATCAGCATAGACCACTACTTCTGGTACCTTCTCCATCAGGACCAGGTGGTGAGACACACTAAGGCCCTTTGATGAGATTGTGGAGTGATGAATTTTTCCCGGAAGCTGATAAGTGCCATTCCTGGTTTAGGGCCCTAGTTCTGCTTTCACCTCATGTCCGCATTTAGCAGGGCTATGGATCAAGGCGCTAAAGCTGTCCTGCGGCCCTAGAGCAGCTCTTGAAAACTCAGCTTGGATCAAGCCTGCCTCCTCAGAGCCTGCACAGCTTTTCCTTTGTCTCAGGAGACCTTTTCTTATCCACAGCGAAGTATTCACATCCTCTGATTCTCTGGCCTCAAGTCCCCCTTTTCTTCTCTGTCCAGCACATACTGTAATCTTCCAAGTCTTCACCTCTCAGAAGGCACCACCCAGTTTTGTAACCACCCCTGCCGCCTTCAGATCATCCCATAGCAGAATTTTATTCAAACTGTTTTCAGTGACTTTTTCTTCCTCTTCAATCTACAAAATGAAGAGTAAATCGTAATCGTATTGGAAAAACAAAGTCATCCCCCACTGAGAAAGGTTCCTCAAAACACAGTGTAACCATTATTATTTTTTCACATGTGCGTTTTTTACATAGCTGTATATACAAAAATTTTGCAGCTCCTTTTTTTCCCCACAATATATCATATTCTTTTCTAAGATTCTACTGTGACTTGAAAACGTTTCCAATGCTCTTTTAAGAGTCCATCAAATGACCATCTCCTATGTGTATGTATTTGGAGATATTTTGTTTTTATTTGTAGAGAATTAATGGTGGGATTTTCTGTGCTTGCCAGAGGCGTGGGTTGGCTCTAAATCTGGGCATCATTTCAGACTCTGCCTTAGTCCACTGAAGATAATGCTTGCTTTAAACTCTGTAGAGCAATCCCTTTTTTTTTTCCCTGTCTTAAGATGTGTTATACCTTAGTAAACAATGGGAAAAAAATCTGCCCACACAAAAAGAGACAGTGTTTGCCTAAACCACTTAAAAGAGAAAAATAAAACCCTCAAATTGATTATTTGCACTGCGTATTATACCATATTTGAATAGCTCTAATTATCTGCTCAACACCCACTTTCACAACTTCATCTGGTTTATGTAAAAACATCAGCTGGGATAAAAATCTTTTATCTAATTGAATTTTTACTGTCTTTCCCTGGAGGCTGTAGCTGAAAGCAGCAATGGTAGTTATGACGAGGTTGCCCTT